AAATAGCTGGGGACGTGGCTCAGTGGAAGGCCTTGAGTTGGACTCTCCAGGCCGCTTGACCGTTTCCAACTCCAGGGAAGCAGCCAAGTTTTTTATGGCCCCTACAGTCTTGCACAGGCCGCACTGCTCCCTGTGCCCGGAATTCACAGCCCCTCCCCTGAGTAATTTCCACGCAGCCTCCAGGCTCAGCCCGGACATCACTGGGTCGGGGGCGGCTGGGTCAGAGGAGCCCCCTCTGCGCTCCCAGGTGTCTGACTTCCCAGCATTGAGCTCTGGAGCGGCGCAGTCACTGCCTGGCTATGTCTGAATCACTCTGCGGACTGGGACCTGTGAGGCAGGGATGCGGCTCGCGCCAGGCGGAATCCCCAGGACCTCGCCGCCTGCCTGTCATCCAGCGGGGACTCCACAGTGCCCGTCCCACCCATGACTCCTTTACCGAACGGCCTGGGCACCGACACGGGAAAACACCGTCTTTCCCGGCTAACTGTGTATGAAATTCTTTCCCTTTGAACGGGTAGCGTCTGCAAACAGAACAACCTCGAAAAGTTGTCGGAGGGAATGCGGGAGAGAGGAGCGAGCTTCCTCCCTGGTCCTCCCGCGGCCATCCGGCTCTGGAGGCAGCCGCATGCTGGGCGTTCCCGCAGACTCCAGAGACAGGCGCTCTGCATCTTAGACGGCATCTTTGTAAACGCGCTGTGGTGGCGCACACCGCTGATCCCAGCGAGACTACGGAGGGAAACCCTGCCTCAAAAAAATCAACTAGTAATAAATAAATAAGTGGAGCCTGGTAATCCAGCTCCCGGGCTTTCCTAAGCACTACCCACTGAGCAGTCAGCAAAAGTCCTCGCATAGCCCAATCACCTTTCCCAGCCAACAACTCAGACTCGCTGCCGCAGAAAACAAACTTGGCTGTCTCCGAGGGGCAGGCAGGGCGGGGCGTGGCAGAGGACGGGGTGACACACAGGGGGAGTGCCGCAGGGCCCAGCATGCCCGTCCTCAGTGTCTTAGACCGTGTTCACATAGACCCAGGAAGAGATCAGACGCTGAGGAGCAGGAGGCGCTAGGCGCACTCCGCGGAGCTCTGTCACCTGCGCGGCCACGCCCTGGCCCCGGCTGCTTGAGGAATGAAGGAGGGTCAGAGCCCGCTGCAGTGCCTCCCGCCCCACGGGAGGAAGAGAACTTCAGTGCTTAGTCACTTCCCATGGCCATCACACTGGGCTTTACCTGGGAATCTGAGTCAGCACACAGGTGTCAGGGAGGGAGGAGTGCTGCCTAGTGACACATCTGCAGGAAGGAGGTTAGCCGGGGCCGAGATTCTGTGGGATACAGGGACCGCTGCAACTCTGAGCCTGGACACTACAAACTCCTGCTGGCCCCTGGGGCTGGGAGTCTCAGGCCAAGCGTAAGGCCTCAGGGAAGAGCAACCAAAATCCAGGGTTCCGCTAGGTGTGGCAGTGCATGCCTGTAATCCCAGCACTTGGGAGGCTGAGGCAGGAGGATCACTAGGAGTTCAAGGCCAATGTGGGCTTACATAGTAAATTTGAGGCCAACTTGAAATACATAGTGAGACCCTGTGTCAAAAATATAAAAAATAAAAATAAGAAGTCTGGGGCTCCTCTTTCCTTCTCTGACCTTCGCCCCTCTACACACACACACAGGGAAACAGCCATCATGGTCTACGTCTCCCAGCACCCCATTAGGCAAAGCCTCCTGAGAGGGCTTGGGTCGGGGAGCCCACAAGCCCAGCAGGGTAGTATTGTTGCTATCATTTCCCCCTTGAGTTGAGAACAAAGCCCATGGCCTAAGAGTGCCAATGAGTGTGCTGATCCCAAGGCAGCCTCATTGGCTGACCAAATCTGTTAGCGATGCCAGGGCCTTCCTGACCTGCCAGATGTGACTAGCCCTGGGGATTTCCACCTCCGCTTGACTTTCACTGCGCCTCCAGCAACCCCCTTACTTCCTCCAAGCTGTGCTGTCTGTGGGAGGCCGAGTAATGTCCTCTAGAGATGCCCATGTCCTAATCCCTGGGACCTCTGAATGTGGCATGAGGCGTGGCAGAGGAAACCGTGCAGATAGATGTCAAGGGTCCGGGGATGGGACGTCCTCCTGGTGGGTCCAGTACACCCACAGCGTCTTCTCAGAGGGAGAACCGGAAGGCGAGAGCGAGAGGAGAGGTCACTGTAGGAGCAGAAATGAGCTGACTCGGGTCCAAGGACACAGGGAGCCTCTGAAGCTGGAAGTGCAAGGAAACAGATTCCGCCTCGAGCCCCACCCTCCTGGCACATTTCCGACCGCTGACCTCCAAACTATGAGGTGACACATTTGTATTGTGCTAAGCCATGGAGACTGTGGTCATTTACTACAGCACAAGGCGAAATTAACGTGGATGTTGGAGCCAGGAGCAGGGTGCTAATACAGTGAATACCTAATTAAGTGGCTTTGGAATTGGGCGGGAGATGGCAGATGAAAGAGCGTTAAGAAGCATGGTAGAAGAAGCCTAGCTTGGGTCTGGGGTAGTGGCTCATGCCTGTAATCCTGCTATTTAGGGGGCTGAGGCAGGAGGATTTAGGGGGCCAAGGCCAGCCTGGACTACATGCTGAGTTCAAGGCCAGCCTGAACTACATAGTGAAACCTTGTCTCAAAAAAACAAGAAATAAACAAAAAAAAACTGGCTGAAAACTTAGCTGAATTGTGTCCTGCACGTATGTGAAAGTAGAAGCTATAGGCAGTGAGCTTGGAGATTTCTAATCAAAACATCAAAATATACAGCTTGGGTTAGTCTTGCTACTTGTAATAAAGTTTAAGAAAAAGATAAATTAAGGGAAGAACTGTAAGCAAAAAAAAAATCAGAAAACTGGGCATGGTGGCACACACCTGTAATCCCAGCACTTGGAAGGCTGAGGCAGGAGAATTGCTGCAATTTCAAGACCAGCCTGGGCTACAAAGTGAGCTTAAGGCCAGCCTAAACTGCATGGTGAGACCCTATCTCAAAAAAAAAAAAAAAAAAAAAAAAGAAAGAAAGAAAGAAAGAAAGAAAGGAAGAAATTAGGAATTAGAGATTTAAAAACGCGCCTGCTTGGCAAATGCAAGGTCCTGAGTTTGATTCCTGATACAAAAAAAAAAAGAAAAGAAAAAGAAAAATTCTCAGTTTAATCAGGTTAGAAAAAAATGTTGAAACTAAGGGATCCACTGTTAGGACAGCCGGCATGGTGGCACATGCCTATAATCCCAGCACTCGGGAGGCTGAGGCAGGAGGATTGCCATGAGTTTGAGGCCAGCCTGGGCAACACTGTAAGTTCAAGGCCAGCCTGAAATACAGAGTGAGACCCTTTCTTTTTTTAAAAAAGTATACACTATTATTAGGAGAGACTGTGCTAGAGAAAGCCACCACTGCACTGCACAACCTTTTGCTGGGGCATTAGAAGATTCATAAGGTCAGTGAATTCAGCCACATAGAGAGGCCTTGGACAAGATTAGTCTATGACTAATGGACCTCTTCTGCCACCTCAGAGATGGGATTATACTGGCGATGCCTCTTGGCTAATGGAATGAATGCCTGTGACACATGAGTGACCCATAAAATCAGCGGAAAAGTACCGTTGTGCACTGAAAGGAACAGAAAATGAAATTAAAGCAGGATGTTGAATTCCCAAAATTTTACAGGCAGGAAACAGTCTGATAAAATTATTCATCTGCGTCCTAAGTACAGTGGCACTAGGTGCATAGACTCAGCTGCTCAGGAGGCTGAGGCAGGAGGATTGCTTGATTCTAGGAACTCACAGCCAGCTTGAGCAACATAGTGAGATCCTATCTCCTAAATACATACATACATACATACGTAATTCCCAGCTACACACATGAACTACCCTTTAAAAATAAGGCCAGGTTTGCCAGGTGGGGTGGCACACACCTGTAATCCCAGTGCTCAGGGACACTGAGGCAGGAGGATTGCTGTGAGTTCAAGGCCACCATAGGCTACAAAGTGAGCTCAAGGCCAGCCTGAACTGCATAGTGAAACATTGTCTCAAAAAGACAAAAAATAAAAGTAAAATAAAATAAGGTCAGGTGTGATAGTGCATACCTGTAGTTCCAACACTTGGGAGGCTGAGGCAAGAGGATCACATGTTTGAGGCCAGCCTGGACTGCATAGTGAGACCCTGTCTGAAACAAAACAAACAAATTAAAAAAAAAAAAACAAACCATGAAATCTAGAGGAGTTCATTCAAGCAGGTTTTTTAGACTAGATCAGGTGTATTCAGGATGGTATGGCCATAGATATATATGGGTTAAAATTTTACTTTCCATTTTGTCCTTTATGAATGGGAATATCTATAACTGTTACCCTGTTTTTTCTTTTTTTTCTTTCTCTCTTTCTTTTTTTTTTTTTTTTTTTTTTTTTTTTTTTTTTGTCTTTTTGAGACAAGGAGTCACTATGCAATTCAGGCTGGCCTTGAACTCACTCTGTAGCCTCAAACTCATGGTGATTCTCCTACCTCAGCCTCCTGCGTGCTGGCATTACAGGCATGCACCACTCCCCACACACATCCATTTCTTTGTTTTTGTCCTTGGGTGGAGATAAACTGTTTCTCCAATCTCACATGTTCACAGATGAAAAGAAATTGTACCTTAGGGTAAGAGTATACCAGCACCTCACTCATTCCTGAGTTCAGTTATTTAGATGGTAAGATTGGGATCTTTGGCCTGATGAGATTTAAATTAACAAGATTTTTTTTTGGACTTTGTGCTGACACCATAGTTGTGCTTTGGGGAGATGTTGACATGAAGTAAACATATTTTGCACATGAGATAAGTGTTACTCTTTGGAGGCTAGAGGACAGACAGTGCTAAGCTACCTCCATAACACCATGTCCTCATCCCTGGAATCTCAGCATACGTTCACTTACATGGCAAGAGGGAATCTAGGCGTATGCTTATATGAGCAAGCATATTGAGACAGGCAGGTTATCTTCCATTACCTGGGCAGAGCCAGTGTAATCACAATGTACAAGGGGATGTCTCCAAGAGAGGAACAGGTGGGTCAGCGTGATAGAAGATGCGCCAACCAAGGCCAAGGTCAGAATAGCTCGGGGCCAAGAGCCAAGGAATCCAGGCAGCTTCTATAAGCATCCCCTAAAATGCAAGGAAATGGGTGGCTCCTCAGTGGTTCCCAGAGGAGCTCAACACTGCAGTCCTAGTTTGAATTTTTTTTTTAAATTGTCTTGCTTTGCAGTGGCATTGAACTCACAATGTAGCCCACCTGTCCTGGAACTCACAGTGATCCTCCTGCCTCACCCTCCTGAGTGCTGGGATTACAGGTGTGCGCCACTACACCAAGCCCCATTTTGGATTTCTGGCCTTGGGAATTATAAAGTCAGACATTTATGTTAGCTTTTTTCTCAACGGGTTTGCCGGGAGAGCACAGGTATAGTGAAAACCACTACTAAATCACAGCCAGCATGGGGAAGGGAAAGACCCATGAATACCGTTATCATTGGACATGTGGATTGGGCAAGTCCAGCACTACCAGCCTTCTGATCTACAAATGTGGCGACATCCACAAAAGAACCACTGAAAAATTTAGAAGGAGGCTGCTGAGATGGGGAAGGGTTCCTTTGAGTATGCTTGGGTCATGGATAAACTGAAGCCA